AAGTCGTTGTTGTATTTTGTTGCTGTTAGTAGTAGTTGAGTCTTCTGGATCAACATAATAGTTGAGTCTTCGGGATCAACATCTCGTTATCACGTCATTTTTCCTTTGCTTTTAGAATCAACTCACTCAGCAGCGAAATCAAGGAGCAACGACTACTTTTAGAGAAATTGCATCAAGCAATAATATCCAAGAATGATATCAGCACACGTTTGACCGATGACTGATTTACTCAACAGTGCCAACTATGGATCTGCACAGTTTTAAGTTATAACCAAAGAAGAAAAATAGGATGATGTTTTTTTTTTGCCTGCGAGTATTCGTTCTTTTCACTTCGTCTACAGATAAGTTACCCTGGGTTGTCAGAGACGTTTTTCTCCTTACCTAATTCTTCACGGCGAAGCCGCGATAGCGACCTATGTAGGCAGTGTAGGCGGTTTCCGTTTTCGATCAAGTTTTTTCCCCGCGGCTTCGGGCAAAGATCTCTCCGCCGGCGGCTGATACTGAAGCATGCCGCTGTATGGGAGGAAAACCTCTCACCCAGGGAACAGATAGCGGGTGTGCAGGTCTCGTGAGTTGATTCAGAATCAGTAACAACAAATTTATAGAACGCGAACAAAATCTACGCTTTGACTTTAACTGTCGAACATTGTTTTAAAGAACCGAGTTGATATGCCTGCTCACATACCCAAGTGACTTTAAGAATTAAAAACAGAGATGCGATGGACATTTTTCGCAAAAAATCGCCGCTGCACAGGTGTACAAGTACGCGTGCTGTCCTACAATTATGGATAACTGTTCTTGCGCCGAATAGTACCAAGAGATTTTGAATGACGGTATGACGACTCGCCTTGTCAATGACATTCGACTTTCTGGAAATAGAGCTGTGGTAAAATGGTGTTTACTGTTCGGTAAAATGCAAGCATTTTAATAAAACCCGAAGTTTTGGGAAACCATGCAAATCTTTCTTCTGTAAGCTTGTGCTTTGGAGTTTTTTTGTGTGTCACTGAGGCCCTCTCTGCACGAATCCCGATATTTTTGAAAACGGAGATTTTTTCCTCCGTTTTCGAAAAAAAAGGCGGTATCGATACGTATCGTATTTGCATAGTTTTTTCCCATCCAAATAAAGAGGCTAAAACGGTGGAAATACGATAGCATCCTTTAAAGAGCATGAGTAGTGCTAGTAATAGCGCAGCTCCGCGCGCGAGCGTAGCACCACAGCTAAAATAATTTGGTAATCTATCCATCTGAGAAAATTTGGTTATGACGTCAGCGTACGACCTCCCGTCCGAACAGACGCTGGGGGAGGGGGAAGGAAGTCAGACGTCAGCCCGTCGGGGGAGGAGTATGTTATAGCTGAGGTGAAATTTTGCATTTCAAGCAACTTCCTCGTTTCGGCAGTAATATATCACATGTCCGGCCGGACTTTTAAAGAGTGAAAAAACAAAAAAAACGGTCTTTCTTTCCACTAAATTTTAGTATCTACATTAACTTAGATAAAGAAAAAACAGAGTGAACAGAAACACAAACATTTCCACCATAAAACGTGTAAGTAGGAAGTTAAATGAAGTTTCACGTTTTAGTCGTGCAAAACAACGGCAAGGAAATGTACAAAAAAGTGTGCTGCACGTGCAAAGTTGTTTTTTGCTAATTAGATCTATTGTTGTTGTTTTTTACCGTTCTCGTTGTTTTCACCTTGTCTTAAGTATTACTCGATTTTGTATTTTCTTTCAGAAAACTATAAACATTAAAGAGAGCTTCGCTTTTAGTCCTGGCTAAATCTAAATCTATATATTATGTGATGTATGACATCGAAATATTCCTAAGCATCCGTTTTCGTACGCCCACAAGTAAAAGAGAAGTCGGCGTTTTCAAAAATCTCCACATCTGCGTTTTTGGACTCCAAACGCCCATTTACGTGCGCCCCTAGGTGCGCCAAAATACAAAAAACAACAACAACAACAACAACAACAACAACTAGCGTGGATGGAAGGTTCAAGCAAAGGGCAAAAATCCATTTTGAAAAATATATGGATGCCTGTGGATGGAGCCCTAAAACAACACGACTCAGAATTTAATATTACAATTTAAACTATTGACGCCCGGCACTTTTTACGTTTTCAAAACGTCATGTTTTAATAGCGTTGCTTTTAATCCTTAAATGCTGTACAAAATCTTTCGTTGACGAGTGATTTTCCACATACAAACAATCCATAGGATTTCGTGACTCCGTATTTGGGGTTACCATGGAAAGTGCAGGTGGTGCTGTTCTCGAAAGCACTGAAGGCTTGAGTTCTCTGGAAACGTCATTCTGACGTAGTCATTTTGCTTCGTAAAGCTATAATAACGGCTGAAATTTAGTTTGTATGCCATTTTTTTGTTAAGTTCTTTTTTTGAAAACGGAGATTTTTTTCCTCGTTTACAGCCATTTTTCATCTTTATTGGCTGTCTAGTGAGTATCATTAGGAGTGACGGTAGCTAAGAGTCCACTTTCTCAAAGAAGCGAGTAAGGTGATGTAATTCGTCTGCGTTATTTGGCTTGTTGCTCGTGAATTTAACCTACCATTTTCGAAGTTGCGACCACTGAAAATCACAAAAAGCGCGAAATTTCCGTGATAGGTCGGAGTGGCTGTGGACTTAGTATAAATATGAAAAAAGTGGGGGAAGGAGCAAACGCTGTAAAAAATTCTGGCTATTTTCCAGCGTGCAATGTAGTTGTGAGATTGTAGCTCGGCCCAGGAACCGAATAAGAACAAGGTAACTGAAATGGTAACTGAAACTAATAAAATTTTGACAAATGAAAATTAATGATATGTGTGGAGAGATTTTGGAAAACAACCTGCCGCTTGGCGTCGGTTGCAGTTGCTGGATTGCTCGGCTAATGAGATGAAATGAAACTAGGACATATTGGCTTGGATTCGGCGTTTGATTTGTGGCTGCTTGGCGATTTCAAGCTGAGGATTTTTTTTCGCATGGGGCATTCCGAACTGGACTGTGAAGCCTTGTCCTTTCTCTTACAGTGGAAACTCGGGGTTAAAGGAAATCGCTTAAATCGCAATGGATCGGAAAAATAACCACACAGCAAACAAAAACAAGCAAAGTAAATACGGTAATTTATTGAACATTCTAGCGAGTATTTATCGATTTGAATCTTTTACCTGAATTCCCATACAAATCCTTTATATTCACGGCCATTTTAAATTACGCAATATGAAACTACATGTGTTAATGATTAAACTCACACACTGAGCTTGGGCAGCCTGTGCACGAGGGTGGTTGCGAGTGACCGAGCGTGTTCTGGACTGTTCCAGGTCGCCCAGGTCCTTTTGGGCTTTTGCTGACCCAGGCGGGTTTCTGCATTGGTTAGCTTTCTCAAAGTTCTCTTACTGTTGTCAACTATCAATTTAATGAGTTTCGTCAGGAGCCCAAGCTCCTGGTTTCGTTGTTCAAAAAAAAAATTGAAAACAAAAATTGCTGTTTCGTGGTTTAGTAATGTCCCAAAACATACGCCTGTTTCTCGGCATGGTTTCAGGATATAAACAGATGTTTTTTTCTTACAGACACTACTTAAAAAGTAGATGAGATCCAAATTGTTAAGGCAATATTTTTTGCCTATTCTTGTATTTCTTCCATTTAGATTTGTCTGAAACTTGGCTATTTCCTCTTCGGTTAGCCGTGAACTATTTCCACATTTTTTTGAGCTCACTCGTGCAGCCACTGTAGGAGACAACACCATTGCCTGGAAACAGGGTTGCGATTTTATTACCATGATATGACTTCTATATTGCCTACATCTTTCAAATATGGTAACCGCTGGCTGGTTACAAAGAATTAGCCGCTGGACTGAAGTACTGGAGTAATCAGAAACGGCAAAATATTTTGAATGAATAATAATGATATTGTTATATTCCCAGACTTTTATTCAGCTATACAGGGGAATGCCATTGGTTGATTCTTGGCTAGATGGCCAGACTAAATTCAAATGTATTCTGCTCATGATACAAATAAAGTTATTTTTAAAAAAAGCAATTGTACCCCGCTCAGAAATTATACAACAGCACATCATGAAAGCATGGTGGAAAGAGGCATGACAAAAGGAGGGGAAAACACTGCCAGATTTTACTTTGGTGAATGAAAACAACAATCCACACACACATGGAGCATCAAGCTACACTCTAAGTTACCCAAGAATAGATACAGCAGCTAGTGGAGGGAAAAGGTGCAGATAATTCATGGAAAGTAGTTTGTAAATCTTCCATTCAGTGGTTTCAAGAAATCAATTTGGGTTCTTACAAGTTTGTTTTGATCCACCCTTTATTCTTTGTTGCTGTTGAAGTGGAATTCTTGGAATATAATAAAATAACTCACGTCAGGTCCCTCGGGAAACCAGTTATTTTGGTATTTCCTCGAGTCCTGACGTTTCCCTTGACTTCATCTCAGGAAACAACAGTATTCTCTCCGAAAGAAAAGAACTGTTCCCCTCCAGACCTAACTAGAAAGCACAACATGCAACAAACTTGTCATCAATATCATTATGTTAGGAAAACAAGCATATTTTTTCACTATTCAATGATAGCTTGTATTGCAAAAATTCCACTATTCAATTGTACATGTAAACATAAGCAGGTGAATTGGTAATCTTTGACTTATAAGAGATTAACAATTTAAAGCCCCTAACCATTATTAAGATTTACTTAAGATTTACATAAGAACAAGCAAGAAATTATCTCAAGTTAGCAGAGCCAGCAAAAAACGCAGCCATCATGCTCGCTGACCAACTGACTGCTTCTTCTTATGTAAATCTTACTTTTTCTTTTATAAACTTAACAAACAAGTAACAGACAATGTCCTTTGTTATACATAACTTTAAGGGGCACAATATTAGTTTATCTAGATGTGCCCCTCTCCTCTCCTTCCAATATACAATGTAATTCAATTTAAGTGTTGTAATTTCTGTTTTATGCGTTTTTTTCTTTGTTAATCTTTATCTGTTACTATATTACTTTTTTCACGTTATATTTACATAACTATGTATCAGCTAGGAATTGGAGGAATAAATAAATAATAATAATAATACAAAATAAAACCATTATTAAATGAATTTCAAGAAGTGTTGTCAACAAGACCAATACCTACAGTTTCTCACAGAGTGATCTGATAAGTTTAAAATATGTTCATGAGTCGATCCATTTAAGTTAGTAAACTCATACCCAATTAGGTGTAAATGGAGTTGAGTGGTCAAAGTTTAACATAATTCACTTGCTTGTCACTGTACGTTTCATGGCTTAGAGAAAGCATCAGCTTCGAGCCTTGAAACCTCTAGTTCTTGTTTGGCCTCCTGAGATTTTATCTCCTCTAAAGCTTTCTCAAATCGTTGTTTCAGAAACAGATTAGAGGCTTCTTCAATGCGCCTCTCCTGCTCTGTACGAGCTGCTTGAATCTGTCTCAGTTTCTCTCTTGCTGAATCTAACAAAGCTTGACAATGATTTTCACTTTCTCCAAAAGAATTGGAAGCACTTTCCTCCATTTCTACATCAACATTAACCTCATTATCATCTCCATCATCTTCCTGCTGAGTATCAGCCTCATCTTGCTCATCACTACTAGCCTCCTGGAGGATGGCAAAAAGTTCATTCCTGTCTTCATCATCACTAACACTATCTTTCCCTGGGTCCCGGGACAGTGGTGAAGGCATAGAACTGTTCAGTATGTCAGCATCAGACACCACATTCTCATCTGCTTTTTCCTCGTCTTGTAGTACCTCAAAGCTGACATTAGAAGCACTAAGATCAGTCCTAAGCAAACGTTTTACCTCTTTTTCAATCTCTGGAGATTCCACAACCTTCTTCTTAGCTGTTTTTCGAAATCTTCGTTTCCGAACATTTTTAAGTGGGCCTGTTATCCCATGATTCCAAATAAATTTCTTAGATTCTTTCTTAGGGGATATCTCCTCTCTTGTGCTGTCATCTTCAGAGCAAACAAGCATTTGGCAGATGTCTGCAGTCTTGTAAAAGCTCCTGTTGTCCACAGTTTTATGAGACTCTATTATGCATGGTAAATCCAAAAGCTTTGCCGATAAAGCTGCTCCATCAAACCTCACTGTGGCGTGTCTATGATCGGCTTGAAATTCAATCGAGAGCCTCTCTTTAAGTGAGTCATTTTGGATTGCGTGTCGGAGTCCGGATGCATATACCTGAGGTACACGAAGAATAAATTGATTTTCCAGTTCACTTCCATCAAACTTCGATTTAGAGGACATTATTATTTGACCACAAAAGAGGCGCAGCCAATGGTTCTGCGCTATTCTGACTTATTTTTACGTTTTTCTTCTTCAATCTGCCTTGCCTTGGCCAACACTGAGACAAGAAGCACACGAATTCCGAGTTTGTACTTTGTGTATGTTACCACAAAATATACTTCGTTCCCAGGGCCTTCTCCTCTATGCTAACCCTTCAATTGAACCCAAATCGCAGATTCTCATGTCAGTCATGTCAAGCCTATCTTTTTCTCTTCAGTGAGAGTCCATTGCCTTTTCCCATAATATCTGAAACACCCTTTTCAACTATCCATAAAAACCTAAGTCATGTCGAAGAGCGACGAACACTTAGGACGCTTGCCAAAGTCGGAACTGGCCGGGCCAAGCAAAGCATCCAAAGTAAGCAAAGCACCTCAAGTAAGCAAAGCACCTTAAGTATGCAAAGCACCTCAAGTAAGCAAAGCATCTCAAGCAAGCAAAGGATTACAAGTAAGGATGCAGGTTCATTATATGAATGACCGTGATGGCTTGACATGAGTTATTTACAGATATCGTTTTCTCTTTTCCGTCATACGAGGATTACACATATTAAATTCTGCAAGGAGAATACTGCAATGCTGATCGTACTACGTGAAAATTAACTCTGCAAGACATCAACAAGACACCGAAAGAACTCAAAACAGAGCGGGATTGTAGCCATATACAGCTGTTTTGCCCTCTTCGGGGCTCGTCAGTATGGCGTAACAACCAGAGATCGGGCTCTGATGAAAAATATCCGCGCACTCTGCTTTTAGCCCTGACCCAGAACTCTTAACACCCACAGAATCAAGGAAACGGAGAGAACAATTATGAATGAGTCAATTAGAAAATGGGTCATAATGCAGCAATAAAGATCCAATAACTACCAAATCTAATTGAAGATAAAATTTAAAAGCTTTGCCAATAAAGCCTCTTGGTCGAGTCAAGAAAAAAAGGTTCGAATCTCTCGGATTCGCTGCCGATAACTCGGCTTTGATAAATGCACACTGTACTTGCAATAATCACCGCTATAGTAAGTGTTTAATCCTGTTAACACTGTTGTCAGTGCTTAACACTAAATACCATTTTCAGTCAGTTTCCGACAGTTTAATCCCTAACTCAAACTTTGACTCATGACTCCTTTGAGTCATAAACCAAGCTCTATGCTTCTCTTTCACTCCCAAAATGCCATTTTTGCGACCCACCTGGTCGTCCTTAGCCTCCCACGCAGGCGTTTTTAGGGGAGCTCGTTTTTCATCCCTCCCCACAAAATACGAGCTCCGCCCTAAACTGAAACGCCTGCGTGGGAGGCTAGGTCGTCCTCTTCCAGCATGGATGAGGGAGGAAGAGGGGGCCATGAGCCTGCACGCAGGTTTGAGAGAATTCGTCTCTTCTAACTATGATTACTAAGTTGTAAATCAGACAGGCGCAGATCTAGGATAAATGTTTGAACGATTTCCTAAACGAACGCCGAAGGCGCAAGCTTCTAGGGGAGTTCGGGGCATGTCCCCCGCCCTAGGAAATTTTTTCGATTTTAACTCCCTGAAGTCCCCTTTCCTGGGTCTCTGAGTCATTCAGACAGGATATTGGCTTGTTCCATTCTACTGGGATAAAGCCTTGCAACTTGAAAAGTGTTTCTTTATTAAAAATATATCTATTATGAAAAATCTGAAGGATTGCCGTGAAACGGTGGAAACAGGTGTGGATCCGCACCTGAATGAGATAGTAACTAGGCCCGTGATAGTGTTAAACGTAAAGAAACTCATAGGGAGCCTGTTGGGAGGGTTAGAAATTCGATGGATAACCAGCCGCTACTGAATGTCATGTGTAAATTCCCATTACTTTATTTCTTTGTCTCTTTTTTTATTGTCTTTTTTATTCTTAACAAAGCATACAGCCAACTCTCGCTTTGCGGACACCTCGATAATTCGGATAACAGCTAAATCCAAAAAGACAAAAGTAAATTACAGACGTTTACCTGAAATTAACTCGCGCAATGACGGACACGCTGTAATGAGGACTCTAACTCGAGGTCACCTGTTGTGTCTGCTGTAAAGAGAGGGTGCTAATGGGGGTACCCAATTCTCAGTTAACCACTTTTTTAATATTCGGCCAAATATCAGTTAACTACTATTTTTTTGGCCAATTCTCAGTTAACTACTAATTGTGATGATTAGCTATTAACTTTCACTTCCCTACAGCGAACATTATTCCGTTATAACCCGAATTTTCCTTCTTTCAGCGAGTCAATCACTTTTGGGGGTAGGCCATACTAAAATCAAGGTATAAATTTAATTGAACTCTGCCACCAGTTCGATTTATTAGTTACTGGAAATATAAGTCGTATAACCAAAATAGATCCAGATGCACCAGTCATGATCTCGTACTGATCTTCCCATGCATGTCCTGCCATAAACTACTTCAAAAGTCACCTTCTTCGGCACTTTCATTATCTGATCGAAATCAGTCTTGTACTTATCTGGTTGCTGTATGTCCTGTACCTTGTTGTTGGCCTACATTTCAATCCATTTTTAATCCTTACAATCCATTGCAACAGACGACGAGAAACATTATCAACGCCAAAATATAGTCTTAGATAACAAAACTGGACCATTATTTTTGGAATTCAATTGTCTCTCCCATAGGTGCAAACTTTGCACCGATGGGAGAGACATAGTTGAGAGTGATGACAAAGGCATGACATGACACGTGACAATTCGACTTTTCGTGAGTGTAGCCCACTTCGAGCTCGTAGTTCTTTTAAGCGATTGCTTTACTGTGGTTCTAAAGTCTTGGGCGTAGTTCAAAGCACTAAATGTTTTGTGTTGAAGTGAGAAACCAGTGTAGGCTTTCCACCTGCGTTGTCAGAAGTTTTTTATACCTCGATACAGATTTTGTCGACATCTTCTTTCGCGTCCCTCAATGCTACCGTTTTCGCAGACGTACTTTTTTCGCGTATTTCAAAAGCCTCATAAAGATATCCGAGGGTTTTAAGAAATGAAACTGCCGAGACTATCTCAGAAAGACCGGCTTAAACACAAGCTTTTCTTCTTATTAAAAAAGTCTCAATAGTTAGAACTCCAACATCAGTTACAAAAATGATTTCAAGTAAGTACAAATTCCATGTACTTAAAAAGATTGCTGATTTCTTTGAACCCTCAGGAATTCTTTTCGGCCAGATCCAATGCTAAGAGTCACAGCTTTTTTAATGGTAGTAATGTTTAACTTGACGATCTTTTGGGTCCATGAAAGCGGTATTTTCTCTTTCCGAACACAGAAATCTTGTTAATATTAGAAAACGAATTATTTGTTGAGTTTTTTACAACCAGACCAGCTCTTTGATTGACGTTTTCTGTTTGTCGGGTACTGCCCTGGTGCCTTTTCAGACATACTAATATCAGTTAATGTGCCAGCGGGTCAACAGCGAAACAAAAAAAATGTCAGAAAATAGCATTTCTGTTTGCAAAACTTTGTTGCTTTCATTAATATTAATACAATATCACTTAACTGTAAACGTTTCACTTATCAGTTAACTACTAATTTTTTGGCCAATTATATATCAGTTAACTACTGTTATTTTGGCCAAATATCCGTTAACTGTTAACCCCATTCGCACCCTCTAAAGAGAGTTGATTGTAGAGCTGATTATCATACTTAACATGAACACGCAAAAACAAAAGAAAATATAAATTAATCCAAGGACACTGCAGGACCTCGAGTAAGTGTGCCATTTACATGGCGAGAGGCCGGTTCACAGTTTAGGTAAATCACGTAAGCAAAATTTAGGACTGTTAAATTTCGTCCCGGAATCGCCTTTATTGCAGAAATCATATCACTAGTTCCATTTACCAAAAAAACAGCTGCGAAAGCCTAAAAATGGTATAAAAAGATGACTTTGAGGAAATGGAACGCGAATTTCCGTTTGGAATTTTCCGACCGCCGGAAAAACAGGACTACCTTTTCAGACGTTTCGTTGATCACAGAAATTTTCCACTGAAACGACTCGGAAAAGTCGTGTTCCGTTAACTTTCCAACCAGATTTTCCGAATTTTTTTTTGTAAATGACAACCATTGTTTTGCAAATCTAAAGCTATTTCTTTTTCGCCGTTCTCGTTGCCGTCCCCGTCGTAGATGCTAAAGCTCCCTCAGTAATCAGCTTTAAACCCGACTCAGTACATCATAACTGAATTGGTAGTAAATTTTCTTATCACACTCAGGAAACATAGACTAGCGTTGAGGGGCAATACTGAACCGGCATTATTCATAAGGTAGCAAGTACCTTTATAATCATTTCATTATTAATAATTTAAATGTTTCTATTTGTATTTTTATTTATATATAAAAAAAAAAATTGTTTTTAAGTGTGCAATGCTGAAGTTGATTAGTCTTTTGTAATGTAATATGTCAACAAACCTAAGCGTTATTAGCCTCCCACGCAGGCGTTTTTAGGAACCCTTTTAGGGGAGCTCGTATTTCGTGCCTCCCCACAAACGTTATGAACTTATACTCTGTAAGAAAAAGAAAACCTGTACTGGACTGCTCTCACCAATGCAATTAAGTTAATTCTTTCTATCCTCTTTTTCGTTTGTTAGGTCTATCAGAAGACAACAAGTTAAACCTTCCAAAGCACCCTTCAGAAACCCAAGTTTCATCGTGGCTATTGCGAATAATTCATTAGTGTTGCAACAAGCTAACTCAAGCTAACTTAAGGTTTTAATCAGTTCTGTAAACTTACTGTTTTATTAGCATGTAACAAGCTGATTTTGAAAAAATGACGTCAAACCTACGGCTATGTGCTCTAGTTAAGCACGTTCCGTCATTAGTCTTTGTACGTTATTGATTCTCATCTGACTTAAGACCTAAGCTCTCAGAACAGTCGCTGACGTGTTGTGCACTGTTACTGAAGGATTCGTAGAGAAAGATGTATCTAGGCACAGATGCATCGGGTTTCGTCTTTCGTATTATCGTGACTCGCGTACCGTATATAATTCAAATGGGTTATATAATAGCGCTGAGATTGATGGAGATGGTGACAAAAAGCCCAAATCAAAGACTAAGAACTAAAAACGGTGCTTTGCATTCAACAATT